ACCCAGGCGCCCCGATACCCAGAAACTTCTTTTGCCTACTTCTAAGTTTTGGATAATTTCCCATGACATTAACAAGCAGTCTGTCAGTGTCATTATTATATTGTAATATTTTTATTATCATATCCTCACACACTCTTACTTTCCACAAATACTGAGAACATAACACTGGGCAGAAAAATAACAGGCCGACTCTCCACACACACGTTCTGTTCACATTGCTAAAGAAATGTGTTTATGTATATGCTGGAAATACTTCCCTGGAAAAGGAAGATAAAAATGCCCTCGAATTCACCATGTGTCAGCTTTAAAACCTTCCTCTCTGTCAGGTTCTAGAGGCAGAGGACGTGGGATCGGACCCCAGCTCTGCCACTGGCCACGGTGTGTTCTTGGTCAGCTGTGTGCCTAGGTTGGCTGAACCAGATGGCAGAGACACTGGGGCCTGGGAAGGGAAGACACCTGGGAGGCTTGGGGACATAGCTTTTAGAGACTTGGGTAGGAGCAACATGTTGGGGAAACATTTCTGATGGGCGTGAAGGTTCCTCCTTAACAATTATTCTGAGATATACAGAGATGACCTGAAGCACTTTTTCTCTCAGGATGTTAATGTTCTGTATTTTCTGCCTTGGCCAGGCTTGCGAAGGGGAGAGGACTGGGTGGGGGTGGGGGGTTGTGGCCATCAGAAACTTAACTTGTATGAACCTCAGTTTCCTTATTTACAAAACAGGGAGTTTAATGCCTAACTCAAAGGGTTAGTGTTAGAGAGTTGGGCCTGATAAAGTTTGGAAATCACCTGAAAGCCCTCGTGAGCGTTCATTTGCTTCACTCATTCAACAAGCATTCACAGAGGTCCTCTACCCAGCCACTTAGTGCTCCTCCCCCCTTCTGGGTACACTAATGCTTGCATCATCTTCCCCCACCCTTGGACTGTCCTCATGAAGGGACATGTGTGCATTATCCATTTCATAGCAGAGGATTTTGAAACATAAAAAACATTTAGTGAAGAAATAGGATTCCATATTTTATTTCTTCTCTCAAGATAATCTATTATTTCAAAAGAACTATCTTTCTTGAATCCTCCTCAAACTGGCTGTCATTCCAAAGAATGAGGAGGTAATGCCACTCAGGAAGTATTCACTGCAGAAGTGTCCCTAGGGGGCACTGGTGAGCCGGGCACGGAAGAAGTGCTGACTCTCCATTGAATAGACTAAGAAGTGACAAGATCCTCCTTGGCAACAGGTCAGTCAACCATCTGGCCCTGCCTGTGGGTGGGGTGCCCCTTTATCTACCTGATATGCTTTAAGGATGCTGAAATGCCTGCCTGTCCCTAATAACTCCTTTATCAAGGTACCTTCAGTTCTATTATTAGATAATTCCTTTGAGTCAAGGCCAAGGTCTTCAAAAGGCTCTTATTAAGGCACAGACTTAACATGAATGAGTGGATAAAATTAATTAAGCTATTCTATGGACTCCGAGAGTTTGTTGTTGTTGTTTTTTTAAGGATTAGGGGCCCTGAGACCCTGACCAGCCACAGATAAACTGCCAGGAGGCCACGAGAACCTCTTATAGAGGAGGAAGAGGTTGAGACCCCAAAACAAACCCAGCTTTGGGTTTTCAAAGCCCATTTCAGAAGTCTCTCTCATCTCACAGTTTTTGCCCCCTTTCTCAGTTCTCATGTAGCTTAATTTTTTTTTTTTTAAGATTTTATTTATTTGAGAGAGAGAAAGCATGAGCGGTGGGGGGAGGGAGAAGCAGGCTCCCCTCTGATGCGGGACTTGATCCCCAGACTCCGGGATCACGACCTGAGCTGAAGGCAGACGTTTAACTGACTGAGCCACCCAGGCGCCCCTTATGTAGCTTAATTTATTTAAAAGAGTGCAGGCTTCTGGCTTGCTCTACCTCAGAGGAGAGCTGGCCTCCATCTTCTAGTTTGACCATGAAACTACCGGTTTCAGCTCAAGATTTTTTCCAGCTCATTGTCTTGCTTTATCTCTACAACCACCATATCCTGCTTCTACTATAGATCATTATGCCCTGGTTTTACACCCAGGGAAAGGGAAGAGAATGATGCAGCTGACTTCTGAAAAGTATTCCCAAAAGACGTGTAGCAAAGAAGGGTGGGGGGTGCCAGGAAACAAATGAGAGCAAGGTTGTGGAGACGGGGACAGGATGTAGATAGCCCCACAGCCCTTGGCCTAGTGTGTGTCTGCCTCATAGGAATTTGTACCCAGCTGGATTTTCTAAACAGTGTTCCACAGAAGCCCAGTGTTCTTTAAACACCTGGACGGGAAAGCCACAAGCCTTTGGAAAAATAATCTGAATCTTCAGCATTAGAGTACTGATCGAAATATGCTGCAGCTTCTTCCTTTTTGTCTGACAAAATGTTTGTGGATTCCTTTCTTTAAAAATGATGATTCCTTAGTGCTCCAGAGCCTCAGACCGTTAAGGAAACAGAGCCCTGCAGCAGGAACATGAGCTCAGCGGCCCTTAGGGACAGGGCAGGGACCCAAAATGAAGCACTCAGCTGTGTCCACTGCAGGCCATCGTTGTGTCAAAATGCAGGCCCAGGTCAATTTTTAATTTTTTGGAAAAGAAGTAGGATATCTAAATACTTCTGTAAAATCTCTCTGTTTTTAAAAGTTGACAGCTGATTAAGAACCAAACCCAAACCAAGAAATTCCACTGGCCTCCTAGAGGGTGGCTGTCCCTGGTCCAGGGGGGCTATGGCTGTTTGCCTTGTCTTACATCGGGCAGAGCTGGTCCTTTGATGGGTACCACCCCTGTGCCCAAAAGCCAGTCACTTGGAGGAGTCATCCTCAACCCAAGCCAAGGGCACATCCTACATGGGGGGTTAAGGAGCCCAGACAGACAACTCGAATTGGGCAGACCAAATGTTTCAGATTTTATGAATTCAACTGTGATTGAAAAAACATGACTTGGGGCGCCTGGGTGGCTCAGTCGTTAAACATCTGCCTTCGGCTTAGGTCATGATCCCAGGGTCCTCCGATGGTATTTCCATCGAGCTCCCTGCTCCGCGGGAAGCCTGCTTCTCCCTCTCGCACTCCCCCTGCTTGTGTTCCCTCTCTTGCTGTGTCTCTCTCTGTCAAATAAATAAATAAAATCTTTAAAAAAAGAAAAAAAGAAAAAACATGACTTTTCTGCCTTTCCTTGGAACTTCACTTAAATCTAATTAAAAAACAAGTTAGGTACAATACTTTGAATATGATTTCACTTTTCCTTGTGGTTATGTATAAACCTAAAAACAAAAAAAATAAACAAAACGCCTTGTTTTAATTCTGAGCCTTCTATTCAGCACCAGAGAGAGAGAAAGCACAAGCGGGGGAGGTAGCAGGCAGAGGGAGAGGGAGAAACAGGCTCCCCATGGAGTAGGGAGCCCGACATGGGGCTCCATCCCAGGACCCTGGGATCATGACCTGAGGCGAAGGCAGACGCTTAACCAACTGAGCCACCCAAGCGCCCCCGAGCTGTTAGATTTCTAGGCAATGACTTATTTTCCTTTTCATCCAATTCCTTGACTGCCAATTTTTTTTCAAATTCTCATCTTCAACGTATTCTCCAAAAGGAGAAAACAGGATTATATTTCAAAGGGCAAATGAGTTATAGATGTCTTTCTTTCCTTTATAATTAATTATATAAAAATACCATATATAAAACACATGTTACGTAACTATATCAAATAAATTGTGGCTAATTTTTACATCTCTTTGCTTTTAAATGTTATAATAATCAATGCTAAAAAAAATGATCAGTGCTTACTTGGGACTCATGCTGGTGTTAAGAAGGTAAGAACATTCTCTTTGAATGATCTTTGGACATAAAAAACTATAATTGTATGCCCAGTGCCCTAGCTTCAACCCTTCATAGGTGCTCAATAAATATTTTTTGATTGAACAAATATTTTTTGATTGAACAAATAAGCAAATAATAATGGGAAAGAAATGTTAGAAATGATTCTATTTCAAAACATATGGCTACACCTTTTCCTTTAGAAGTTAAGGTAAGCTTGTATAATTCATCATTGAGTTTCACAAATCTCCTAGATGGACAGTTGAGCCTTGGGGAATTTAGAGCAAGAACCAGCCTTATTTATCAGCCAGCCAGGAATTCCAGTTCAGCCTTCTTCATTTTTGCCATATCAGTGTACCCAAACTCTTAATATTTTTCTTTAAGTCAACTCTCTATTTTATTCATTTATATCACCACTATGAGTGGAGAGCTAGAATCATTAATAAAGATAATACAGTACTATTGAATTTTTAGTTAATGTTGCTTGCGTTCCTGGAGCCTGAAACATGTTCTCCCTTTGTCAGAAAGGGAGATTTTGAGGGATTTGGGATGGTAAAGACTTATTTCCATCAAAATTTGAGTTTCTTTTGATAAAATCAAAAGGATTGAAGGAGAATTGACAAGGGAATGACTTTCTATGTTATTCACAGATACAGCACACCTGAGGGCCAGCAGAGCTTGTCCCATACTTGGGAAATTCTGATCTAATTCAACTTCCTCATTTTACAGATGAGTAAAAGGGAGGCAGAGGGCAGTACAGTGACTTGCCCAGGTGCAGAAATGCGACCCGACCCCACTTCCCAGGCTGGCGTGGTGATGCCAAATCTCTCTAGCTCACCTACTAAAAGATGCTTGAAACAAGAAACGGAAGTCCTGAGGCAAAATCTGGGCACCTTGACAGTGCAGCCGGCAGTGGGGTGAATGGGGAATTTAGGGGACTCTTGGGGAGGGGCTGGTATCATCTGTCATGCTGCCCCCCACCCCCACCCCACTCCCTTTACAGAGGAGACAACGCAGGGCCAGAGAAGGGAAATGACTTGCCCAGGGTCTCAAGGCCTCTCGGTGACAGAGGGAGAGCTGCAGCCCCCATCCCTGCCTTCCATGCCGGCCTCCTTTACATGGCACCGCTCCAGTTTTCCAGCGCTGACGTCCCTGCCCGTTTGCAAAAGCTCTACTGATACTCAACCCTGTAGTATCAGGGCTATGGTAGTTTAAATTTTATTATTATTGTTACTTTGCACCAGCAAGACGTCCCTATTTATCCATGCCCCAGCTGCCTCCAGAGCTGGTGACTGCCTGGGCATGGTGACTCGGCCCCATTCCCACGGTGCCCCGCACAAGGGCCCAGTGCACCCGAAGTCACTGCGGCGGCGCCGCCGGGTACTTACCGCGAAGCGCTTCCCGCAGCTCTCGTTGCCACAGCACCCACAGCAGTCATTGTTCTTCAGGCCCAAGAACACCAGCGCAGGGAAGATCATCTGCCAGCGAGAGAAGCACCTCAGATCGGGGCTGACGCGGGGAGGGAGAGCCTGCGCCTGCCTGGCTGCGTGCGGAGCCACGTCCACGCTGTGGGACTCGGGGGCTGAAGGCTATGGCGAGAACTGCCAGAGCTCCCCCGAGTAGCCAAGCACGACTGACTCTGTGGGGTCCGTAAGGCCTAACTGCAGTTCAGTGAGGCCAGATTTCAAGATCTGACACCCTGAGTTTCCATTTACCTGGCGGGTTAGGACAGCAATAAGAAACTTGTCCTCAGTTAGGAAAAGTGAGTCTCTCTCTAAACTCTCCTGGAAACGAGGGGTAAATAGATCATTAATGAATGAGTGGAAGAAGAATCCACCGACACCTGCTTCTCTTGGTGGTTTTCAGTCAGTTTGCCAGAAAGTGTGTATCTACGGTCCCCAGCACTATCTTGTTAGAATATAGAATCCAGGTAGCCCTCAGCTTGGTTGGTGGAATTCAATTGACCCATGAGAACTGCCAGCCCAATCTTGGGAATTCATTACTTCGTAAATTTAGTGGACATGTCCGTGTCAGGACCTAAGGGAGAAGGAAAAGAACTAAAGCACTGACTTTTCATCATGCAAAGCTTGGGCTCTTGTTAGCAACTAAATTATCTTGTTCAAAAAGTACCCAATTTTAAAAGGATTCGGCAAAGATCAATGGGAGGGTTTTAAGGCTTCCCTACTCACCAACACCCCGTTTCCTAATATTCCTCCGAAAAACCAGACCTCATCAGAAAGGTGGTCGTTGTCGTCTATCACTTTTCCTCCAGGAAAAAATAACAGGATGTTAGCCAAAAAGCCAAACAAGGCGAGGGGGATGAGGGTGCCCCCCAGGCACTTGGCACAGCCCCCACTGCACATGTTGGGGAAGTATAATATAGGTCTGCGATCAGAGGCCCCTCACTGTCGCCTTCACAGGGTCTCTTCAAGGTTATCGGCCAGAGTGTCCTAGAAATTATCCCCAAGTCAGTCCGTATTTTAGAGCCGAGAACCAAATCAGCCTGTGAGCTGTGTCCTTGGAGTTGCTTCTGCTTCTCAAATGTGGCAGAACGTTGATGGCGATGGACATTTATACATTCTCCCTGACCTGAAGTCCTTTTTTTTTGCACTCCATAAATGAGATTACGTTCAGAGCAATGATTTTGCCATGGAGACCAATAACCTCTGTTAATGATCCACCAGCACAGGCAAGACACTCACATTGTTGCAATCGAACGTAGGGCTGGAACAAACAGCACTTAGAACTACCGCACCTTTAATCTGACAATGGTCCTGACCAGATATAGAAATATTTCTCCCAGGCTCTTTATAATCACTGGGTAATTGAGTTACATCCTAAAATCATGTCTCTCCAGTACTTAATGGTCTACAGTGTGTGTCTTTTTCTCTTCCACTGAAAGCCTGGAATGTAAAAGAATTATCCCAAAGAGCTTCTGTTTCCCTCGATACAAAAATAGCAATTTGATGGTCTAGTTGGGTATCACGGAGTTCAGCCCTAAAGGAACTTTTGAAAGGATAAAACCATTATTAATGGTTATTAATTAATGATTATTAATTTTATTGCCTGACTGCTGTATTTCTGTACTTGTCGCTTCATTAAGTTCTCTCTTCTCCCTTACCTGGTATGATGGAATTAGCAAAAAAGTTTTACCAATCAGCTTGTTAAGTCACATCCTCCACGTAGGAACAGAAACCTCTTCTTCACAAATGGTGAGGGACAGGGAAAGTTGGTGTTGGGGAGAGGAGAGGAAAGGTACCGATAAATCAATCAAGGGGAGGCTGAGTGGATGAAGTTGGAAGAACCATTAGAAAGTACCGGGCGCTGTAAGGTAGATCTCTATTGGAAATTTTGCCAGTTGCCAGAGGCATGATTCGGTTACTCATTTGCTTTGTGTCACTTAGGAAGGCCTCTGCCATGCCTAGACCCAGCTCTATGGTACTCAAGGACCTAGTTTGGTGCTGGTAGTCAATGGACTGTGGGGCAGAAGAGGGAGCCTGCTAGCTCTTCGTGGAGAGTCTAGAGGTGAGATTTAAGAACAATAGGGAGCATTTTATAGAGGGTCAAATTTTAGCTAAATAAAAAGCAAGTAGCATCATGATCATGGTGAGAGCAGCTACCCTGCAGCGGAGTTGTCCACCCACTCCCAGGGGGGCAGGGGGCTGCCTTCCCCCGAGGCTCAGGGATGGCTGGCCAGGGAGGCTGTGGACAGGACTCTGGAGAAGTCGAGCTGGATGGATGCTGAGTTTCCTTCTAAAGATTCTTTGAACTGTGTATTGGTTGCTCTATAGAGAGACTTTCTGAGATCTCAGGGTTGGGGTGAGAAGAAAAACAGCAAATGTTTCTTGAGCAGGCATAATATGCTAAGCACAAAGGAGCGCTTTAAATGCTTCTCATCCTCCTGTGAAGAAGATATCAGGCCCCTCTATGGGCAAAGACACTCGGGCTGAGACAGATGAAGTACATTTTGCTAGGTCATCCCTGAATAATAAGGCAAGGAGCTAAGATTGTCAATCACGATGCTATGTTGTCAAAACTGGGGCTATGGTCTCCCAAATAGGTTTAGAAATTAAAAAAAGATGATCTTTTCAATATAAACAACAGAATGTCACTATGTGCAAGCATATGGAAACAGTGGGACATACTTCCTTCTGAACAACAATTTTGATTTTTTCTCTTTATTACGAATAGGTATTTATTTAGGTAAAAAAGTCAGATATACAGAGACATGGAAGGAAGAAAAGGAAAACCAACTGTGTTCCCACCACCAGCAGATGAGGACTGTCACCACTTTGCTGGCGGGTGCTTTCCAACACTCCAAGCAGGTGCAAATGAGCTTTGTTTATAAACCACCCATTTTGATAGGGAGTCTTGAGAATATTCCCACAGAGGAAGATAAGGTTCCAGAAATGTAAGGCTTGAATTAATCATCATAGATGCCACCTTGAAGATGCTCCCCCACTGGGACCTGGACAGCTTCTTTCTTTTGTCAGGGCCTTGGGCCCCTAGAATTTCCCATCACGGCATTTCAATAACACTGTTCAACAGAGCCCTGATGTCTTAGACTTTACAGAATAGCAACTGGATTTGCCAGCCTACCCTATCTGAGAGAAGAGATGAAAGTAAAGGGTACTGTGCACCACACTTCAGTTTCCTTCCACAATTTTTTTTTTCCAATAAAAATTAGAAGGATTTTTTTTAAGGGGGGGAGGGGCAGGGAGAGAGAGGGGAGACAGAATCTTTTTTTTTTTTTAAAGATTTAATTTATTTATTTGAGAGAGAGAATGAGAGAGAGAGAGAGCACATGAGAGGGGGGAGGGTCAGAGGGAGAAGCAGACTCCCCGCTAAGCAGAGAGCCCGATGCGGGACTCGATCCTGGGACTCCAGGATCATGACCTGAGCCGAAGGCAGTCGCTTAACCAACTGAGCCACCCAGGCGCCCCAGGGAGACAGAATCTTAAGCAGACTTCACACCCAGCGGTGCTCCATCCCACGACCCTGAGATCATGACCTGAGCAAAATCAAGAGTCAGACCTTTAACTGACTGAGCCACCCAGGCACCCCAAAATTAGAAGGATTTTTAATTTCCAAGAGTTTTGAGAAGGCAACTAATGCAACGCAAGTTGGAACATCTAATAAATTTAACAACAAGCCAAAGTGATTTTGTTACATAAATTAACCCATTTATTACAGGCTACTATTGTTTCAAATGGTGGAGCTTCTACTGGTCTTTCAACTCCTCCGGTCCTCTGATGGCCGACTCTATGGCAGAAGTGATGTTGTAGGTCCAGGCACCACGGGCTACCATTTTCATTGCAGGAACCACCATGTCAGATCCCCACAGCTCGTCTTTTCCTCTTGGTTTTGCCACAGAAGGAGCAAGTGTACTTGGCGTGCTGGTTTACTTCAACTTTCTTTCCCATTTTCCTGAGGGTGGCCCCATAATGCGTCCCGTATTTCCCAGTGATTCTGACCTACTTGCTGGGTTTAGCCATGTCGCCGCAAACTAGGTCTCAGCCCAGAGAATCCTTCCACAATTTTTAAGAAGTTTTGGTACATGAGTAACTGTGAGGGAGAGGCCTGAGGTAATTTATTTCCTGTGTGGAGAAGGTGAAACACTGAGAGTCACTCTTCTGGAATGCTCTGGCCATCCAAAACTTGGAGGGTGACTAACTCATTTATTGTTCAACTATGAATTGTGCCTTCAGACATGCAAGCAGGAAGTGGAGCACCTAATCTGGAGAAAGGGGGAAGTAGGGGAGGGAGGCAGGAAGGGATAAGGGTCACCAACAGACTGCTCTAAGCACTAGGAAAAAAATGTTGTTGAGATTCTGGCAATTGTTCTTGTGATACCCATGCTTGATGGTTTGTTGCTTGCTCTCTGTTTAGCAGTGAAGCCTTTAAACCGAAAAGGCTAGAGCCCTCTTTTTCAGAGAAGCAAGGAGGAGGAAGCTGAGACTGAGCCCCATTTTGGATCCAGTCTTGTAAGAAGACCTCAGCAATGAGAGCAGATGGCAGCTCTGGAAGGGACAGAAAAGACAGTAATGATCCTTGCAGGAAGAAAAGAAGAATGCAAACATGGTGGCCATTCTGGACTTCACCTTCTGGGAGGTTTGACTGCAGGAGATTCAGGGGTTCCTCTCTGTGATGCAGGCACTCTGTTCCTGAGACAATGAGCACAGGAGTAAGAGATATTTTCCAGGGTGCTCTGACCACCTGGGGGGGTATGCACACTACTTAGGTGAAGCTTGCTACTGTTTCTCAGCCTGCTAAACTTCTTTGCCTACAAAGGATGAAGAATCATCAATTCAGTGCAATGCAATGCCAGCAATAAGTGAGTTTGAAGCACCCACAATGTGTCCACCAATGTACCAATGCTCTTCTAATGAACCAAAAAAAAAAAAAAATCTGACTTACTTTCTGCCCTCACTGGTATTACAACCTCTTACTTGCAACAAGAGACAATGGAAATTGTGCATAGAGGATATAAGAATTAACTGCTTCTTAGCAGAAGAACTAGAATAGGCTTTTCTCCTTTCCTGAAAATGGATCACTCTCATTTATTCATCTAGAACATCAGGGAGAAGATGAGGGGCCTTGACACTCATATTCAGGTGTTATAAAATTTTGATTTCTATCTTTGCTTGCTTAGATTACTGGAATAGCTTCTTAAAAGTGATTTCCAGGAGGAGGAAAAAATAATAGAAAATATTAGTGGGCATTACATGTAACAAGAATTAGATCCATTTTATGAAACTTCTGTAATGTGCATATAGATAATGGGTAATAATGCAACATGTTTGTTTACTGCAGGTCTCCAATGAATAAATAAAAGTCAAAAGTAAGAGTCAATGCAAATCTGATCAAATATGCTCTTGCCTGAAGCCCTCAGAAGCTTCCCATGGCCCTCATAGCTTAAACCCAGCCCTCCCTGATTTGCCTTCCTGCCAAGTCAAGTTGACCGTCTTCTTATTTTCTTCTCTCCTCTCTTCACCTACTTCCCTCTTCTATACCTCCAGGACTCAGCTCAGCTGTCACTCCTTCCAAGAAGCCTTGTTTTACCAGAAAAGTGTTTCACAATCAAGATATGTCTGTACATATCTAGATAATACAAAGTTAAATAGATTTCTGAATGGTATAACTTTTTAGGGCTTTTAATCGGCAAATGCACTTGTAATTATTGAAGGAAAGTTAGGAAATGCAGTGTCCAGTGTTTCCAGAACTTCAGTGTGCACAGAGTGGTTCATCCTGAAGGACTAGGGTTCTCCAGCATATCCTGGGGAAACTTGGAGTTTCCGTATTTCTCAAGTGTTTGTGAAGGAATCTGTTTTAGCAGGGAGAAGGCGAGCGGTCATTTGAGGGAAAGGAAGTGTAACAGGAGTGAAAGTTGAAGATGGGATAAAGCGTGATTTGGGGGAGCTGGATGCACCCTCAGGGTAGTGAGCTGGGAGTAGGGTTGGGAGCCAGGTGGGCCTCCACTGAATGGGAGATAGCTGGCCTGTAGGAAGGCCGTAGCTAATCTTAGGTGGAATAGTAAACTCTAGTCCTTCATGCTTGGGTCATTTCAGCATGAGTGTTTCAAAGGGGGCCACTGTCCTGGTTGAGATTGGACTATACAAGGTCCAAATGTCCTGGAGAACTA